AGGCATGGCTCATAATTCAAAATGGAATGTCGTTTGTGGTTTTTAGGAGAAAGACTGTCGCCCGTGGGGAAAAGTATGTGAAAGATAGGACCAGGGTGCTGCTGTGAATGTTGGCGGCAGCCATGGGGTCCATGGCGAGTAATATCTACATCGAAGACTAACTTTCCAGTAGCAGTCTGGTTAGCTTGTTATTGGCTCGGCCTATCACCCATGTTCTATAAAAGGCGAAAATGTAGTTTTTTGTTATAAGTGAAAATATATAAAAGACAGCTTATTGCTGCATTTCATTGCGAACTGGTTTTATGAAATCTTGTGCCAGGATGTTGGTATGCTTCACTAGCATAGCAAGTATATGAGTTTTGACATGGTGTGCTGTAGACTACTGCTGATTGTTTTGTCAATCTTCAGCGGATTTTGAGCCTCATTATTTACTGTGTAATTGTTGACTCTGGGTTATGGACCACAATGATCCCGAACGGTTTGTTGATACTTTCTTTCGCCTATAATATGTTCCTTATATGAGGGCTTGTGCGAAAAAACTTGGGTCTTCCACTTTTTACCGCTCAATATGAGTCTTCTTATGACACTTGTTAATGAAGTACTTACGATAACTAATTTATTTAAATTGGGCATGCAACTGCTTAATCTCCTTCTTCTTATTCTTCTTCTTCACATTGTCGTTGCTACAAGAAATTTAAGCACGTGGTAAGAGGGTTCTGACGCAACGGCTTTCGTAAGCAACGGATTGTTTCGCTAGAGTGCGGGAAGCGGGTAGGCAGACGGAAAGAATTAAATGAGGGGGGAGGGCGATAAATGTGTTACGACAGTGGCCGAAAGTGATGGGAGGGGGGCTAAAAGTCCGGAAGACGGATTCCGCATCAGTCCACCGAGTATATTTAACTTTGTCTTAAGGTGGGTGCGATTTAGTGAGCCTGGCAAGAAGGCCTTCGCAGTCTGCATCTAGATCGACACGGCGGTTGATGCGGGTCATATTGGAGTGGCAATTCTTGGCATGTCATCAGATGTAAGTGCCCTGGGTTTGCAGGATAAAGCGCCCGACAGTGGCTTCCGGCCTCTTACCAAGGCCCCCGTTGACAGGAGATAGAATGCGCTGTTTTGCCTTGGAGACCTCATTCATGTACGGCAGAGAATGGAGAATTTTTGATTTTTTATGCTCCCCGTCGTTCTGAGTCTGCTTTCGATACAAATTCCACGCAATTCATTAGCCTCTTTAATATTGGCATGTTTAGTTCACTTGTTTATATTTATGCATAATTATTAAGTACACTAAATATAAGGCACTGGGGTTGTTAACCAATTACCAGTAAAGTTCCTTGTTGCACGTTCGCATGTGGAGAAAATAAAAAATCGCATTATCACATATTCGATTGCCGACAGAGTATCTATGGTCAAGCGTGCGGTAGTGTATCACAGCTGTGTCCAAGTCACCATTTCACTATTTTGCAATTGTGCACCGTCAGCTAGCTATTCCTGTATACCTTATTTTCAATTCGCGGTAATGAAAAGCAAGGTGGTATATAGGAACATGACAATGCTCACCGGAACGGGCCTTATTTTAGCTGGCATACTGTTTGGTAAAATCAATGTTTGGTCGTTTTAATTTCCTAGCAGTAGGCTTAGCAGCAACCGTAGCTTCTGCCAAACAGCTTCTGAAACGGATAAATCATATGCAGTTAAAGACGGCTAAATCCATTGTTTCCTTTGAAATTTTTTTCACTTTTCACCTCCCTGCCACAGCAACTAGCCACTGATGGTGTGGAGCAATTTCTAACTGAACGCTACGAAGAAAAGTAGAAGCTCCTGAAGTCTGAATAATTTCTCAAACTGCTACTTCATTGCCTAAAAACTTACTTCACATTTAGTGGACCAGTGTATCAAAAAATTAAACGCACTTCAATGGGCTCCTGCCTGTCAGGCCGGATTACTGAAGTGGCCCTTGAGCAAATAGAACATTTGGCCTTCACCAATTATTAATTAAAGTATTTGCCTGGTTATGTCGATTACACTTCCTTTAGTGTCGAAACATTTGACATTGAACACCTCAAAGAATTAATGAACTTGGCTGACCCAAATATCCATTTCACAATGGAAACTGAACGAAATGCTTCCCCCCCTCCTCCATGTCCTTGCGCAGCGGTGTTCAACTGCACTACTGCAAACTGCATTATTCGGAAAATCCATCGGCACAACGCAATTAATACACTTCAACAACAATCATCCCCCGTCTCACAAACGTAGCTACGTCCCTAATATTTTCCAAAGAATTCAAACACAATGCAACAGAAAAGCTGCCAGAAGAGCTGAGCAGTAATACTTTAATGAACTTTTCTGAGCTAGCAGACTCCTAAGCTCTTTCATCGCACAAAACAACCGCCAAGTTATCAGACGGCGGCCAAAGGAACAGCAATTCGAAGTCTCGAGGGCCAGGCCTTACATAAGAGCAGTCCCTCGACTGTTACAACCCGCTAGAGTGGGCATAATCCATCGACCTCAGGCGACAATATGACGCCATGTAATGCAAACTGTGGACAGATTTCCCTCACTGAAACCTCTACAGTTGTCTAACAAACCCATTGCAATGGTGGAGACTGCAGTTGCGTTGGAAAAACAAAGCGAAAATTGCAGATCCGAGTACATGAACATAAAATGGC